AGGGTCGTGAGACTGATCCCTGCACTGGGCTCCGTGCTCAGTGGGAAGTCTGCTTGAGATTCTCTCTCTCCCTCCGCCCCTTTCCCAACTTATGTGCACCAGCTCTCTCTCTCTAAAATAAACAAATCTTTAAAAAAAAAAAAAAAGGATAAATATACTATGGTGCAGTCATGTAATGGAATACTACACAGTCTTATAAAAAGAATGAAGCTCTTTGTGTAGAGATATGTAATGATCCCCAAGGTACAAGTGAATTAAGCAATGAACAGAAGAGTGTGTTAATTAAAATACTAACAATGATGACGGGAAGTACAAACCAACATATGAAGTATTCTGGCCAAAATACCAACTTGAATTAATTGAGCTCTAGATCGAATTACCATTTTACAGGAAAAAGAGGAACAAATGAACACTGTGGAGATGCAATCAGCAAAATCTAGAGTATGGGAAACTGCACAGGACAAAGACCCAGTTTCTTCACAAAAACAAAGGAAACAAAAAAATACAAAAAGGAAGAACTTCTTATAGGTCAAATGAGACTAAGAAGATGTAATAGCCTATTGTAAAATGCCACATGATGGCAATATTCTCACAGTGACCTATAGACTCAAGCAATCCCTATCAAAATCCCAACTGCCTTTTTTATTGAAATTGACAAGTTGATCCCCAAATTCATGTGGAAATGCAAGAGACCTCAATCTTGCACCTTCTCTTTCAAGATCTTTCAACGATCTTGAAAGAGAACAAAGTTGGAGGACTCACACTTCCCAATTTCAGAACTTCCTAGAGGCTATAGTGATCAAGACTGTGTGGTAATGGCATAAAGAAAGATCAATTGAAGAGAGGAGTCCAGAAATAAACCCATACATGTTAGTTAACTGATTTTCAGCAAAAATGCCATGACAATTCAGTCTGGTAAAAACAGCCTTTTCAACAAATGGTGCAGACCAACTGGATATACACACAGAATGAACATGCATCCCTACTTCAAACCATAAACAAAAAATAATGCAGAATGGATCAAAGACCAAAATGTAAGAGCTAAAACCATAAAACTTTTATAAGAAAACACAGGTGTAAGTTTATAAGAAAACACAGGTGTAACTTTTCAAGACCATGGATTAGGCAATCATTTCTTAGACAGGACACCTAAAGCATAAGCAAACTAAAGGAAAAATAGCTAATGTATATGTCCTCAAAATCTAAAAATTATATGTTTCAAAGGACTCGATCAAGAAAACGAAAATACAAAAAAAAAAAAGGAAAAAGGAAAAAAGAAAAAGAAAATGAAAATACAACCCACAGTAAGAAGACCATATTTGTAAATCACTTATCTGACAAATGTCTAGTATCCAGAATACATAAAGAATTCTTACAGCTCAACATTAAAAACACAAGTAACTCAATTTATTTAATTTATATTTTTTAAAGATTTTATTTATTTATTTGACAGACAGAGATCACAAGTAGGTGGAGAGGGAGGCAGAGAGAGAGGAAACAGCAGGTTCCCCGCCGAGCAGAGCACCTGATATAGGGCTCGATCGCAGAACCCTGAGATCATGACTGGAGCCGAAGGCAGAGGCTTAACCCTGAACCACCCAGGTGCCTGACAAGTAACCCAATTTAAAACAGGCTCAGGATTTGAGTAAATATTTCTCCAAAGAAGATATACAAATGACCAATAAGTACATAATGCCATCATCATTAGGGAAATGGATTATCACTTCACACCCACAAAAATGAACAGAATAAAAAAAAAAAAAGACAATAACAAGGGTTGATAAAGATGTAAAGGGACGCCTGGATGGCTCAGTGGGTTGGGGGTCTGCCTTCAGCTTGGGTCCTAATCTCAGGGTCCTGGGATCAAGCCCCACCCACATCAGGCTTCCTGCTCAGCAGGGAGTCTGCTTCTCCCTCTCCCTCCTTCTCCCAACCCCCACTCATGCTCTCCCTTTCTCTCTTGTGCTCACTCTCAAATAAATCAGTTTTTTGTGTTTGTTTTTTAAAAGGATGTAAATAAAGAAACTGGAACCTTGGGTGTCTAGGTGGCTCAGTGGTTTAAAGCCTCTGACTTTGGCTCAAGTCAGGATCCCAGAGTCCTGGGATCTAGCCCCACATTGGGCTCTCTGCTCAGCAGGGAGCCTGCTTCCCCTCCTTTCTCTCTCTGCCTGCCTCCCTGCCTACTTGGGATCTCTGTCAAATAAATAAATAAAATCTTAAAAAAAAAAAAAAAAAAGAAACAGGAACCTTCATATATTGCTGATAGAATGTAAAAATGGTACAGCTGCTTGATAAACAGCTTGGCAATTCCTCAGAAAGTCAACCATACAAACATAGAGTTACCATATGACCTAGAAATGCCATTTCTTGGTATATGCCCAAGAGAACTGAAAATAGTTGCTCACACACAAATTTGTACATGAACGTTCATAGCAGCATCATTTAGAATAGCCAAAAAGTGCAAACAACCCAAATGCCCATGAACTGATGACTAGACAAACAAAATGCAGCATACCATACAATGGAAGATTATTCAGCTGTAAAAAGTACACAATGGAAGATTATTCAGCTGTAAAAAGTACGGATACATGTTACAACATGGATGACCTTTGTACAGTGAAAGGAAGCTAAATACCAAACGCCATACACTACATGATTTCATTTACATGAAATGTCCAGAAAAGGCAAATCCAGAGAAAAGTAGAAGAGTGGTTGCCAGTGGCTGAGGAGAGGGAAGAATGGGGAGTAACTGTTAAGGGAATGGGGCCTCTTTTTGGGGTGATGAAAATGTTTTGGAATTAAATAGTCATGATGAATACATATTCTTGTGAACATACTAAAAACCACTGGATTGCGTCCTTTAAAAGAATGAATTTTATGGTGTCTCTCAATATTTTTTTTTTAAAGCCATCTAGGTCAAATACAATGTATGTCTGATCCTTGCTTGAATCCTGGTTTTAAAAAAAAGTCAATTGCCAAGAAAAAAATGAGAAAATTGGGGAAAATGAGTATTAATTTGATATCTGATAATATTTAGAAATTATTATTATTTTAAGTGTAATAATGGTATTGTAATCACGTTAAAAAAACTTACTTTTTTAAGGATAGGTAAAGAAGAATTATTGACAAAACAATATAGTGTCTGCTATTTGCCTCAAAACACTACAGTTGAGAAGGTATAAATAAGATTGGACATGTATTGGGGCGCCTGGGTAGCTCTGCCTTCGGCTCAGGTCATGATCCCAGGGTCCAGGGATCAAGACCCGCATCGGGCTCTCCACTTGGCCGGGAGCCTGCTTCCCTTCCTCTCTCTCCGCCTCTCTGCCTACTTGTGATCTCTGTCAAATAAATAAATAAAATCTTAAAAAAAAAAAAAAAAAGATTGGCCATGTATTAAAAACTGTTGAAGCTAGATGATGGGGTTCATTATTCCATTATCTCAACATTTGAGTATGTTTACCTAAATTTTTTAATTTTAAAAGAATATATTTATAATTGCTTGTATATACATACAATAGCTCTGGATATATACGTAAGAAATACTGTTTCCCTCTCAGAAAGAACTGCATGGAAAAGGATACAGAATGTTGAAGGGAGACTCTTCACTCAATGTCCTTTTTATTTTTTATTTTAAAGATTTTATTTATTTTTTGACAGAGAGAAAGAGAGATCACAATTAGGCAGAGAGGCAGACAGAGAGAGAGGGGGAAGCAGGCTCTCTGCCGAGCAGAGAGCCCAATGTGGGGCTTGATCCCAGGACCCTGAGATCATGACCTGAGCTGAAGGCAGAGGCTTAACCCACTGAGCCACCCAGGTGCCCCTCAATGTCCTTTTTAAAAGTAAATTCTAGGGGTGCCTGGCTGGCTCAGTTAAGCCTCTGACTCTTGATTTCAGTTCAGGGGATGATCTCAGGACTTGAGATCAAGACCCAAGTTGGGCACCACACCCAGACTGTCTCTCTGCTCCCTGCTTAAGACTGTCTCTCTCCCTCTCCCTCTGCCTCTATTCTCTCTCTCGCTCTTTTAAAAAATAAAAAAGTAAATTCTAAGAGCAAAAAGTTATCAGCAACAGCTCACCATTACTGATGTCAGCAGATATATATATATTTTTTTGCATTTTAAAAAGTTTTTACTTAAATTCCAGTTACAGGGCACCTGGGTAGCTCAGTGGGTTAAAACCTCTGCCTTCAGCTCAGGTCATGATCCCGGGGTCCTGGGATCGAGCCCCACATCAGACTCTCTGCTCAGCAGAGAGCCTGCCTCCTCCTCTCTCTCTGCCTGCCTCTCTGCCTACTTGTGATCTTTGTCAAATAAATAAATAAAATCTTTAAACATAAATAAATTGCAGTTATTTGGCCAATACATTATTTTTAAATATCCATTATTTTTTCAGAGAGAAATAAATGTAAGCCCTGTTTTAGAGATGACCCACTGAATTTAGTACACCATCTCAATCCCACAGGGGGTCACAGGTAGAACTAAAAACACTCTTGAATTTCTCATCCCTGATCCAGCCTTCAGGAACACTCACCTTCACTTACAACTCTGTGCCACTTAATACAGTGCCAGATTTGATTGCATACAAGTAACCACCCATGAAAGTGTACTTCTGTGAGACTATATTAGCCTTTAGCCTCAATCCAATCCAAGATCAGCAAAAGCCAGGCATTCTACCTCTCACTGGTAGCCAGCCAGGTGAAATCAAGAAAACTGACATTTGGGGGAGACTGAGAGAAACCCTCTATGAGCAGGAGTGATATGACCAGGGCTTTGTCTATGGAAGCACTTCTGGGGGATCACTATTGTCATTTATCAATTCCACTGGGTTTCTAACATATTGATCGGCAGGACAGCTGACATACTCATGGGTGTAAATCCTGCTTGGTAAAAAAAAGCTTGCTTAGAGATCCATGCATTCCTTCACAGATACAATGCAGCCCAGCCCTGTACTATGGTTCACGTGTATTATGAATAAATAGTGAAATGGAAGCTGCCACCTACCTTGACTCTTGTCATCTGGGTCAGGGTCCGATTTCAGTCTTTTCACACTGTTGCCACTCTCTGAGCTGTAACAAAAAATACGGTAATTTGAGCTATGTCCAATCTTGGGGATTAAAACTTCAGGAATCAGGAGCTCCAATAACTATTTATATGGGTCTCAGGTAGCCTCAAAGGGGTGGTCTGAAATGAAAAGTCTTCATTTCAGGTTCTTAATCTCCTTCCAGTTACATTATTGTTATAAAAACAACTTAAACCCCTGGCCAATTCAAGGAGTGGAGCATTGTATCTTAAAGCATCACCTGAACTTCAGATTCTTTGTTGTCCTTATCATTCATCTTGGTTAGAACCACAGATGGACTGCAGGAGTATGTGGACACATTCACAAAAGACAAAAATTTAGTTAAGTTCTTAAAGATTAACGGAAATCTCTCCTTTAGTGACATGCTAGAGATTCTGAAAGTCAGCCAAAAGATCTTCACTGAATGTCGAAAGAATGTACTTCTCCTGCTGTGTAGCATAGAGAAGGCATAATCGTACCTCCAGCTCCACCATTACTGCTAATATTGAGGGCAGTCAAAAAAAGAAAAAAAAAAAAGCACTTCAACTAGGAAGAAATTATCTCAGAAAGAAGGCCGTAATCACCGAAGGAAGGGTTAGTGAACAAAGAAACCGGCAAATACAATCTAATTTGTGTGTTAAACATGACCATACTAAGTCCTGGGCAGTAGTAGCATGTAAGGAAGACGTGATTATAGCTCCAAGTTCTAAGGTCCATGTATAATTTTGTAGGAAAGTAAGATAGCTATTTAACTTAAGGTTTTGCAAAGTATTCCTGGTAAGCTGCAAATTTAGCCACCAAAAACAGAACACAGAAACTAGTAGAAAGAAAACGAACAAAAGTTTTTAAAATTTGTAATTTTTAAAAAACAGTAGGAGGAAAAAATATTTTTAAGGTAAAATGACAACATTAAGATAGCAGAAACTATAAAAAAAATGCTAAAAAATCCAAGCCTACCTGTAAAACAAGATCAAAATCCTCAATTTAAAACCAGCTATTTGTAAGACACACCAAAAAATTTAACAAAAATAAAACAAAAACTTGAGACCCAGAAAGACTGAAAACAAAAGAAGAGTAAAAGAGTTACCAAAGCAAATACTAACCCATAGAAGGCTGAGCTACCTATTAAAATTTTAGGGAAAAAGAATTTAAGAGCAAAAACATTATAAGACATAAAGTAGGTTAGTTTATAATCAAACATTTTAATTCACTATGAAGAAATAACAATTCTGAACATGTATGCTCCTAATTAAAGAGCTTAAAATAGATATTCAACAGAATTCTGAAGAAAAATCAAGAAAACATCACTATAATGGGAGATTTCAAAATACTCAAGTACTGGGAAAGCAAGCAGACAAAGATGTAAAAACACAGAAAATTTAAACAATACAATTAACAAGCTTCTTTGGTTTTACCTACATGAAAACCAGAACAATTGCAAAACACGGATTCTTCTCAAGCTCACTTAGAACATTCACAAAAATTAACCTCAGGAATGGGTCACAAAGCAAGTTTAAAGCAATTTAAAAATCAGTACATATAAACCACAATGCAAGTAAGGCAGAAATCAGCAACAAAAGACAAGTATTACGTATCACAGACTCTAAGACACCACTGCTATAAGGTGTTAAAATGTGGGGGTAGGGAGGGGAAGCGCCTGGGTGGCTCAGTGGGTTAAGCCTCTGCCTTTGGCTCAGGTCATGATCTCAGGGTCCTGGGATTGAACACAGCATCAGGCTCTCTGCTCAGCAGGGAGCCTGCTTCCCCTCTCTCTCTGCCTGCCTCTCTGCCTACTTGTGATCTCTCTCTCTGTCAAATAAATAAATAAATAAATAAATAAATCTTTATTTAAAAAAATGTGTTGGGGGGAAGGTTCATCTTAGAACCTATGAAATATAGTTAGGTTATCTCAATATGTTTGGAAACTTTAAAAAACTATTTCTAATTTAGGAGTCAAAGAAGAACCATAATGGATATTTAAAAATATTTAGCTGGAAATACAAAATTGTGTATAATAAAAGCTGAAGAAGAATTAGTTTTAGGTGCCTATAATTGAAAAGAAAAGCTGAAAATTAATTAGCTAGGTATCTGACACTCATTTGTAACAGAAATTATAAGAGAATAAACTTGAGGGAAGTAAAGAATATCCCAAAGAAGTTAGGAGAAATTAAGAAACTAGCCAAAATATGAATAAAATAATCCATCAATATCTGGGATGAAAAAGGGAACAATTATAGATAAAGCTGCAATCAGAAAAAAAAAAATACTAACTTTAGCGAATGCATGTGAAACAAGACAAAATGGACAAACTCCCAGAAAATATAACTAAATAAAACTGACTCAAAAAATACATGAAGAAACCTAAATAGCCCTAAAATCCCAAATCTTAAAAAGCAGGGACCAAAATGATTATATGAAGGAGTTCTACCAAATTTTCACAAAACAGAACATTACCATCTTACACAAACTCCTCCAGAGAACAGAAAAAGACAGAACACTCCCTAAATCCTTCTATGAAGCTACTTTTAATCTTCATATCAAAATCAGAAAAAGTAGAGGGGGGAGGGAAGAGACCAAGTCTCACTTATGAACACAGATGAAACAACCTATACAAAATATTAGGAAACCAAACCCAGTGGAGTTAAAAATAATTATAATACAGCACAACATAGAGATTATAGTTAATAACATTATAATAATGTTTGGTAACTACACTTATAGAGAACCCTGAGTAATGCACAGAATTGCTGAATCATTATGTTATACATCTGAAACTAAAACGCTGTATGTTAATCATACTTCAATTTAAAAAATTATTTTATTTTTTTAAGATTTTATTTATTTATTTGACAGATCACAAGTAGGCAGAGAGGCAGGCAGAGAGAGAGAGAGGAGGAAGCAGGCTCCCCATGGAGCAGAGAGCCCGATGCAGGGCCCAATCCCAGGACCCCGGAATTACCACCCGGGCCGAAAGCAGAGGCTTTAACCACACTGAGCCACCCAGGCGCCCCCTCAAAACAATTTTAAAATAACACATCACAGCCAAGATAGTTTTTTGGATTTTTGTTTTTTAAAGATTTTATTTATTTGACAGATCACAAGTAGGCAGAGAGGCAGGCAGAGAAAGTAAAAGGGAAGCAGGCTCCCTGCCGAGCAGAGAACCTGATGTGGGACTCGATCCCAGGACCCTGAGATCATGACCTGAGCCGAAGGCAGAGGCTTAACCCACTGAGCCACCCAGGCACCCCAGCCAAGCTAGTTTTATCACAGGAATACAACATAGAAAAATCCTTAAATTTTTCACCATAACAGAGTAAAAAAAAAGTCACCAATTCAAAAGCAAAAAAAAATTGACAAAATGTAATAATTTGTGGCTACAAAAAACCTTATCAAACTAAGAACATAATTTCCTTAAACTACTAAAAGATATCTGATCAGCATCTGAAGTTCATTTTTCAACCTACAATATGACAATTTGTAATAAAGCCTTCATGAGCTAAATAAATAAATAAATAAAAATAAAAGAGATCTGAAAAAACAAAAACAATAACAACTATTCTTAATGGTGAAAAGTTATAAATGTTCTGTCTAAAACAAGAATGTGCACAGTAATTGTTTCTAACATTTTACTGGTGGTAATTGCTTGGTGCAGTAAGGTACGGAAAAAAAAAAAAAAAAAAAAAAAGAAGAAAAACAAATCAGGAGTTCCTGGGTGGCTCAGTCAGTTAAGCATCTGCCTTTGGCTCAGGTCATGATCCAGGGTCCTGGGCCCACATTAGGCTCCCCACTCAGTGGGGAGTCTGCTGCTCCCTCTCCCACTTCCTCTGTGCTCTATCAAATAAATAAATTCTTTAAAAGAAAAAAAGGAAGTTAAAAGGTATAAGAGAATAAAGCTGTCATTATTCACAGATAGTGACTCTCTACATAGAAATTTCAAAGGAATCCACGGATAAAAGTTAGTAAGAGTTATTAGAGAGTTACTGCTCAGGTTAGTAAGAGCTGAGTGGCTAGATGTAAATATTCCAAAATCAACTGCACTTTTATAAACCAGCAGAAAAATAAAATCTAAAACATCTAGGAATAAATCTAACAAAAGATATATACAACCTTTTGGAAAAAAATCTGTAAGACTTGTATCAAGTGACATTAAAGAAACAAATAACCAGCAGAAAAATAAAATCTAAAACATCTAGGAATAAATCTAACAAAAGATATATACAACCTTTTGGAAAAAAATCTGTAAGACTTGTATCAAGAGACATTAAAGAAACAAATAAATGTAGATATATGCCATGTGTAGAAGGATTCACATCCATAAAGATCTGTTCTCTCCATAAATTCATCAACCCATTTAATAAGATCCCAATAAACTTAGAGACCTTAATCTAAAATTTAATCTAAATCTAAAATTTTAACATATCAAAATCTAAAATGTATATGGAAGAACAAAGTGGTCAACAGTAGACAAGACACCTCCGAGAAAAATGTAAGGGGACTTGTCCTACCAGATACCAAGATTTTTTTCTTATAAAAACTACAATAATTACAGAGTGGTACTGGTCCAACAGACCCAAGGGACAGAAAACAAGGAACACCCATACAAACCCAAGGATTTAAGACAGAGGTGACACTGAAGGTCACTGGGGAAAGGTAGAAATATTTAGTAAATGTTGCTAGAAAATTAGCTTCTGGGGCCCTGGGGGGCTCAGGTGGTTAAACATCCGACTCCTGATCTTAGCTCAGGTCTTGATCTCAGGGTCGTGATCAAGACCTATGTTGGGCTCCATGCTGGCAGTGGAGCCTACTTAAAAAACAAAACAAAAACAAAAAACTGACCCCCTTAAAATTAACTAATGAAAGTAAAAAGAAAAGATATAAATGGCAAGAAAAAAGTCAGGACCATATTTAAAAAAAACAAACCTACTAACCATTAAGAAAAATATAAATAATCCAGTAGAAAAATGGCAAAATATATGAACAGACTTTCCACATAATAGGACATATGAATGGTAAATCAACATACAAAATATGTCAGCTACATTTGTTACGAGGAAATGCAAATTAGGACCACAAGGAGACAGTATTTTACAAAATCACTATATATCGCTGTATCTGTGCTGTCCAGTAGGGCAGCAATTAGCCACATACTAATTCCAGTGGGTATTTAACACCTGAAATATGACTAGTGTGGCTAAGAACCTGGATTTTAAATTAGAACTAATTAAATTAGTTCTAATTAATTTGAATTTAGATAGCCACAGGTGGCCAAGGACTATCATACTAGACAGCAGAGCTCTGGAGAAACATTTGCACATACATTACAAAGCATGCCCTAGACCTTTCAACACCATCTGTCATGGTTCAAACACGCATCCACAAGAGAACAAGACACATTTTGGTATCTCATATAAAGCACCATCATAAAATAAGGAAAATGAATGAATTACAGCTATATATATGTGAACACACACACAAAATGTTTCAATCACAGAAACAACTGGAGTGAAAAACCAAATTCATAGATCATATACAGAATGAAATCATTTTTATAAAGTTCAAAACCAAGGAAGCCATTATACTGTTTAGGGATACCTATATAGGTAGCTGAAACCAAACCAAACACAACCACCCCACACACACACACCCCCAAACTACTAAAAGTAAAGACACGCAGAATGACCAAGCAGATCTGGAAACATGGGGTGAGGATGGCAGGGTAGGAAAAGGGAGCACAGAGGTTGGCTCAGTCAGCTGATCATGTCCTAGGCACACACCGCCATCCGACTTTCTTTCACAAGCACCAGAATCATCCATGCGATTTGAAAGACTGGACTCCAAGAGCTCACTTCAAACTTAATGAACCAGAGTTAGTGAGAAGCCTAAAATTCACATTAACAAACTCCTGGGTGATTCTAATAAATCCAAGCCTGGGTAGATGAGGAAGTGCTGCCCCAGGAGACTCATTTAGCATCTTGCCACACAAAACAACAATAAATGATGATCTAATAAAAGGTGAGCTAAGGACTAAGTAAGGGAGGCAGTCCTAACATTTATTCTGCTAACAGCAAGACAATGCTGAGAAGTATCTAACTGCCCACTTTGGAGAAATCCAGTAAAATGATCCAGGACCAAATACACTGGACCAGGCATGAAAGCTTCTGTCAACTTAAAAGGAAGAGTGGCACCTGGGTGGCTCAGTCAGTTATGCATCTGCCTTGATTTCAGCTCGGGTCATGGTCTCAGGGTTGAGAGATGGAGCCCCACATCGGGCTCCCCGCTGGGTGTGGAGCCTGCTTAACATTCTTTCTCTCCCTGCCTCTCCCTCTGCCTGCCCCTCCCATGAAAAACTTGAAAGGAATAATTCATGGCTCAGGTAACTGGCCCTTTTCAGGTTACTACTATTCCTCCCCTGCACTGCTAAACCATGACAACATTTTTATACGGAAGTAATGTTCCTAGGAACATCTGCAGCAGACGGATGGGGCACCAAACCACAACAGTGCATCAACGCACTCCCCTGAAAACGTGTGGCTGGCTGCCATATTGATTTTCCTAATAGACTTTACTAACAAGTAACATTATTTCATCCATGGTATCGTTGGTCAAATTGAAACAACCAGATTTCATTACTTTGGAGCCATCTCAGGATTTAGCAGGGAGGAGCAAAACTAAAACAGAACTTAAAAACCTCTAGGCCGTGCCGCCACCTCACATCAATCAGCAAGGAGCCCAGTCAGGTCTGTGCCACAGTCACAGCTTCCATGGTCTCACAGGCCACAGTGCCTTTGTAGCTGCTATTCCTGCTGCCCAGGATGTTCTCCCCCTTGTCTGCCTGTCAAAGCCCTAGTCATCTACCTGGTCAACATCCCCCTCTAACGCCCTCCCCAACCTGAGCTCACAGGCCCTCCCCAGGGATCTATGCGTTTCCTCCTCCCTGCTCCCATGACCCCCTGCCCAAATCCCTTCACACAACTTGCTATCTCATTTGCCTAGAAACAGATGCTCAAACATTGAAGTCCACCCTTCCTATTCCTTTGTGACCTTGGACAAAGGTTTTTAACAGTTAAACCTATACTACGTAGACTTGTGGAAAGAGTTAAGATCATCAACACAATGGAAAGCACTTAACACAATGCCTGCCACATGACTGGTGCCCAATGAAGAGTAGCTGTTACCCTGCTGAATGAACAGAGAGACAAGGCTCCAAGAATACAGAACACACCAAATCTGGAGGGGGAGAGAGCGGTAGGGCTACTAAAGAAATGTCACCAAGACTGCCGCTTAGGTAACCGTTTGTTCCGGCTACCATTGTAAGTGGCATTTCAGAGTACACAGTCAGAGGGAGACTGAAGTCGTGTGAGTGCTGGCTGACCTCTTATGTTTCACAGCTCCTGCCAACAGCTTGGCCTGGGAGAACTTGTTCTTGGTTTCTATGGGTTTCACAGCCACTTTCTTCTCCACCTCCTTCTTGTTTTCCGGAGAAATTCCAACTTTGTTGAGATTACTGTGTTAGAGGTTAAGGGTCAAACTCAACAAAAAGAGCTATAGCAGGACAATGGTAAGTCAAGGGGAGACACATAATCCGCTAGCTCTTCCAGTCTGCCATGTAATGTTTAGTCTGTTTATATCAAAAACAATTCTCTTTCCTCTTTATTCTGCCCATCATACCCAGCTGATTTGGAAGAGAAATGAAGGTAACCTTAGAGGAAGAAGGCAAATCAAGCCAAATATATTACAGAAAAGCAAACTTTTCCCCTTTGATTTTCAGTGAAAATCTGAATTACAGTCAGAAAACCTCCCCCAAAACAGGGCCACAGCTTGCTGGGGTAAACAAAGATCTTAAGAAATACAAAAGCCACAGAAAAAAATGTGGTTTCCCTGAAAATTTTTAAGTATTTGCTTTTTTTGCTCAAGGGTAAAATCAAATCTTGCAGAATGTCCTATGACCATCAGTGGCGTTCAATCTTGGACACCACAAAGACGGATTCCTCTGCTGGTACAATACAACATCAGAAGTACCTGAAGGCTCATTAAAAAACAGAGTCCCTCCCCTGTCCCAGATCTATCGAATGAGGACCTCCACAAGCCCAGGAAATGATTTTAAACCTCTCTTCGAGGTGATCTTAATGAGAAACTCCAGTGCACATACAACACATGAACCAAAACGTTTTTAAAAGTGCAACAAGGGGAACCTGGGGGGCTCAGTCGGTTAAGGATCTGCCTTTGGCTCAGGTCATGATCCTGGGGTCCTGGGATCAAGCCCTGCATCAAGTTGCCTCATCTTCTGCCTACTCTTTCGTGAGCCTGCTTCTCCCTCTGCCCCTCCCCCTTGCACCCTGAGAGTCTCTCTCCCTCTCCCTCTGCCCCTCCTGTTCATGGTCGCATGTGCACTCTCTCCTTCTCTAAAATAAATGAACACATCTTTAAAAAAAAAAAAAATAAAGTATAACCAGTTCACTTGTAACTTCACTCCTTACAGGCATGAGACCAATCGCTGGGTGTCAAGGTCTGTCACTTTCTTCTGTTCTCTCCACCAGCCCTTCCCCTCCTTCCATTTCATATTCTCACAATCCATTAGGCAAGAATTTTAAGTGTTGAATGTGGTGCAATTCTTTAAGAGGTAGCAGTGCCTTACTGGAACAACAGTGACATCTAGTGACCAAGAAATCTAAGAAGCAGGTATTATCAGCCCAAGCAGGTGGGCAGAGAGGTATATGGTCTTTGAACACTAAGAAAACCAGGTACCAGAAATCAGGAAATTCTCATTCTGATCACTCTTCAGGCACTAACTCTGTTCTTACAAGCACCAGTTACCTTAAATATTTGCAGTATTCATGGGGATTATGCAAAACGCTCAGTACTATTCTGTGTTTCTGAAACCAGGTTTCAAAGTCAACATGGAAGCTGGTAATACGTTAACATTACACGTTTGGTCTTCTAGAATAAAAATGAAAGAATCACATTTTGTCCTTCTAATACCAAATGACAAAAACCACCAGCATGCAGATTTTTACCTGCAACTCCATCAGTAAGGGATAAACTCTTACAGAATTCTTAATATTGAAAAATAAAACAAAAATGGAAAAAATTAACAACAAAACACATGCATTTTTATAATAGTAGGACACAAGCAGAAACCAGCACTTCACTTTTTCTTTTAAAGTAGAAAAAAAAAAAGCCTTTAATCTTTTCTTTTTGGGGGACATGGGGGGGTAAAATTACTACTTTTGATCCATAGCCAAAGCATAAGCCATTTTTATGCTTAAGTTCCTCTCCCCCTAAAGTGCTTTAAAAACATAAACACCCCTCAAAAATATCAAATAATTCATTTGATGAGGCACTTTTAAAAATTACATAGTTCTTAACACATATAATATTGCTAAATGCTGATTTAACCTAAAGCAAACAAGAGTTCTGTTGTTTCTACGGCACAAACCACAGCTTCTCTGCCTTCACAATTATCACATCATAAAATGTGTCCTATTATAACGATCGAACCAGCTCCTGACTTAGAGCTTCAAGAAACAAACGGCTAACCCTTCAGTTCTGTCTCCTCCATCTCGACAGGTCTCTGGCTACCTGCAAGCCAGGATGCCTGCTTTATGCATCAGTGGGTTAGAACGCTGGTCAGTGCTAGACAGTCAGAACTTACCAAGTTTCCAAGAAAATCCAACACCTCTGGGGCCTCCCCAATGTTGTGCTGTAATGTCAGCAGGGCAGGAAAGCTTCTCCCTGCTTACTGCTGCCCTACTTACTCCTCCCTTTGAGCTGAAAACTGAGGGACCCTGCACATTCACATCAAACCAACATTACTCCCCAGAACGCTGCTTTGGGAGACGCAGCTTATCTGCTAGGCTGCCGAATTAAGCACATAAAAGAAGACATTATTCTAGTGATTGGTATAATTAACGTATTTCCTGAGGGGGAAAAAGTCTAGAGCCTGACACAATTCAATCCATCTTTCTGCCCCTCCCCCACAAACATCAATGCACACGATTATTCTGGAGTCACCAGGGAGGGTAAGAAGGGAGGGGAGCTCCAGAAGAGTCAGCCTCAATCCAGAAGCTGGGATTGAGGTGTGACTTCCCGATCTTCAGTGTCCTGCCAAATTCCACTAGGAACTCTGGGACTGGAAGCCATGTCTTTTGCTATCAGTTCACAGCAGGTTTTGGGGCACCCATGCTGCCCCCTTATCTCAGCCACTGTCAGTCACCTTGATTTAAACCAAATCCCTGAGAATCAGCCCATACCTTCTCCTACATGGCTCTTTTTTTTTTTTTTTAAGATTTTATTTATTTGACAGACAGAGATCACAAGTAGGCAGAGAGGCAGGCAGAGAGAGAGAGGAGGAAGCAGGTTCCCTGCTGAGCAGAGAGTCCGATGCGGGGCTCGATCCCAGGATCCTGGGATCACGACCTGACCTGAAGGCAGAGGCTTAATCCACTGAGCCACCCAGGCGCCCCTCCTACATAACTCTTTAACGGGACATACTACATGCTCCCTGCAAAAAAAAAAAAAAAAACAAACAACCACCAACTAGCACATACAAGCAGCTGTATCATTCATTTTAGAGATAAAGCCTATTCAATCACACTAGTGAGGTTATTCAACATACAAGCTTGAAATAGTCAAATAAGCATTCTCATAGGAAAAAAGCTGTGGTGGCTTCACTAACCTCTCCTAAGAGTCATTCATTAATTTGTTCACATATACAATAAGAACCTACATGCCAGGCATTAAGGAAATCAGTGGTGACCAGGTGACTATTTTTATGCATTTTACCTTACATTCTGTGGTAAAGAGGCAAACAAACCAGTAAGCAAATTGAGATTTTCAGATGGTGAAAATTACTATTAAAAGGTGACATCAGGGGTGCCTGGGTGGCTCAATGGGTTAAGCCTCTGCCTTTGGCTCAGGTCATAGTCTCAGGGTCCTGGGATAGAGCCCCGCATCGGGCTTTCTGCTCAATGGGGAGGGAGTCTGCTTCCCCTTCTCCCTCTGCCTGCCTCTCTACTTGTGATCTTTCTCTGTCAAATAAATAAAATCTTAAATAAATAAATAAATAAAAGGTGACATCATACACAGTGACATGGTTCAGTGAAATGTTAGATGGGGTACCTAGGGAAGGTCTCTGGGAGGAAGGAGATGTGAGTTGACACACAAGTGCTACAAAATGCCAGCCTTATAAAATCTGAAGGTAGAGCATTCCAGACCAAAAAACAAATACAATGGCCCTGAAATGAAATCACAAAGTTCAGTGTGAGAGGGACATAAAGAAGACTGATAGGCTAGAGTCTAGTGAATATGAAAGAGTGAGTTCAAAACACAACAGGAAGGGGGGCTGGCCTAAACTGTGCAGGGCCTGGTTAAGTCTAACTTAAGTCTAAATGCCACAGGAAGCCACTAGTGTCTCAAATAGGAAAGTGACATAATTCCACATATGTTTTCAAATGTTCCTTTTGACTGCTGTCTGCAGAATGGATTGTTGCAGGCGAGAGCAGAAGCAGAGACTAATCTGGTGGTCACAGTGGTCCCAAGAAGCACGGAGGGAGCTGAACTGCACAGATCTGGAGTACATTTTGGAAGTAGTTTTTGGCCCAGACACATGGGGGCATAGGAGTGCTGTTACTGAGATCGGAAAGAGCAGAAAAAGAAGAGATGTGGGGGCAAGGGCAGTGTGATAAGTCGAGGGGTGTGGCACACAGAATTGAGAATTTGGACTCGGCCAAGTTCTAGATGGGATGCCTATTTAATGCAAGCAGAGGAGAAAAAGGCAACACTGAGCTAAACCGAAGTCATCTTTGTTGTTTTCTCTACCCTTCTGTGGGGACAGACCAGGCTACACTTCTAGGGAAGGTCCTAATAAGGACACAGGAGAGTTGCTAAACATTTCCTTTTAAAACTCAGAAGCCAATTTCTCCCCTGGATGAGTTTTCTGCATTGCCCATCTGTTTCAGAGTCTAATCCCTCAAGGCAAAAATACCCGGGTACTGACTATTAGGATTTAGGCCTTTAGTTAATCCTAAAGGATCTAGACTTTTGAATGCAACAGACTCTCACATGCAACATAACCCCATAAATCACTTCCAGTAATTCAGTCAGAGGGACACCAGTGTTGAAAGGAAACGCAGGGGTCACTGGGCAGAAAAACCTTATTTTCACTCGATTTGTGAAGAAACTCAAATCCAGGGGCACCTGAGTGGCTCAGTGGGTTAAAGCCTCTGCCTTGGGCTCAGGTCGTGATCCCAGGGTCCTGGGATAGAGCCCCGCATCGGGTTTTCTGCTCGGCGGGGAGCCTGCATCCTCCTCTCTCTCTGCCTGCCTCTCTGCCTACTTGTGATCTCTGTCAAATAAATAAATAATTTAAAAAATTAAAAAAAAAAAAAAGAAAGAAAAGAAAAGAAACTCAAATCCATAGACATTGATGAGAAGAAGGGACACCGTACAGATTTCTCTCAAAGTACAAAGGATATTCTGTATTCCTTTAGTTCTTTCAGTTCTTCTTCTCTCCGTTGCTTTTCCAGGAGCTCCTGCTGCCGGGAAACCTCATCAAGGAAGTTAGTCTCATCTTCGTCTAAGCCTCTTACCATGTTTTCTGAGGAAATAACCAAATAAGGAACACTTAGCAAGCTAAGGGGGAAACAGTCAAATAAGATTTTTCTTTCTCCTTTTTTTTTTTTTTTTTTTTTTAAATAAACAGCAGATCTTTTAGAGGATTAGAAGAAAGAATGTGTAAACACCTCGGCTTCTGGAGAGGTAATATGGCATAAAACCAAGGCATTTCTCCCATTACCAGACATCAGCACAGAATTAAAATGGGTATCTTGAGCTCTAAACAAAAATGCTCAATGTGGTCTAGAAGGCAGAAGGTTGTCTCTCTCCACCAAATGAACGTCTAGAGACTAGACAATCAAGACAGTTCCATGGCTAGTTGGAAAAAGTGTCGCATGAGGCAAAAGGCATCGAAGAGGCCCTGCGGAGTGTTGGACTGTTTTCGGAAGCTTACTGAATTTGAACTGCTCCTCATACTCCTGCTGCTTCCTGTCTTTCTGTTCCTGCAGCCTTTCATATAGAGACCGAGGGTCATAAACCTCCTCTGGACATTCTGAAAGGAAGGGCGGGCGGAGAAGGGAGGGAGAAGAAAAAGTACATACTTTAGAATTTTTCACATTATTTTGGAATCACAAAGGATTTTAAAGATCAAGTCTCTGCACGATCTGAGGGCAAGGATAACACAAAAATAGTACAAAGCCCATGGCTTCCCTTGGGAGCTCAGAGAGAGGCCAGCCGTTTTCAAAGACAACTACCAATGTCAATAGGGCCCACGGCCTGAGACGCGCTAACTGGACTGGGGGGCCAGCCCTACCCTACACATTCTCAGTCACTAGCCACATTCTCAGTCACTCAGATCCTGTATCCACATGTATAGACAGAAGGGACTAGCAGAATCTTTTGGAAGGCAGCAAGTGGAGTGGACAGTGAGCAACTTGGTTCTGCTTGTGGCCACAGAGGCCTTATGTAGGTTCCTGCACCCCTCTGAGCCTCAGTCCCCCTTACTCCAAAGTTAGGACATAAGTACCAACTCTGCAGGGCTATTAGGAAGATTAGAGATCTTTATGTTGAATGCTGGACTATAAGCCCATATACCTTCTGGATCTTCAGGTTTTCGAACTTTCTCCCATTCTTCTTGCCTCCTTTTGCGCCGTTCATCTAGTTCTGCCTCTGACACAAACCTCTTTTTGATAACAAGATTACCATCATCCCCTCCATCCATAATGCAGCAATAGGTCTACAAAAAACAAATGAAACACTTTAAGAGAGAACTGCAATTAAAATTCTAAAGAGAGGGGGGTCTGGGTGGCTCAGTGGGTTAAAGCCTCTGTCTTCGGCTCAGGTCATGATCCCAGGGTCCTGGGATCGAGCCCCACATCAGGCTCTCTGTTCAGCAGGGAGCCTGCTTCCCCCCCTCTCTCTTTGCCTGCCTCTCTGCCTACTTATGATCTCTCTCTCTGTCTGTCAAATAAATAAATAAGATCTTTAAAAGAAAAAAAATTCTAAAGAGAAACAAGGAGCTTTAACTCTGTCTCACCTAGCAACAGACTACCTCAAAATTCCCTTCAACTTTGAATTGAAGAAATCTTCTAGTCGCTTAATTTATAAATCATTGGTGAAGCACATGATTACATTTTTCTTAATGTATCAGGCAGTTTTATTAACCTTTATGTTATTTATGAAGTCAGCAAGAGGACCTGGAATGATTCTCATCACGTGCTGTTCCATAGTAAGTCCAACACTGCAAATACTTCTTGGTCCCTCTCTAGACAAATTGGCCTCCCAGGCATCCTATCTTTTTCTCAGATCTCACTTCCTTTATTTCTGTGACTTCTGACATTGTTCCTTCTTGAAATTCCTGTTTCAGGAACATTCCACTATCTCCATTTGCATGTTATTGTTTCCAAATGGATTCAGAATGGAAAAACTCAGGTATTCAAGGAGCCCTGGAGATGAAGTCTAGTCTGTACAGCAGGGAAGGGATATGCCTAAAGGCACACAAAACCCCAAATGGAGAAAGTGAAACTAGAGCCCAGACCTCCCAACTTCAGATTCAATGTCCTCTGCACCAGCCTACACTGAGTCCTCCATCTCTTTCCTGACCTTCCTTCCTGTGAGCTACAAATCTATGCCATTAAATAGTCTATCTTCAGGGTGCCTGGGTGGCTAAGTGGCTTAAGCCTCTGCCTTCAGCTTGGATCATGGTCTCAGGGTCCTGGGATCGAGCCCCACATTGGGCTCTATGCTCAGCGGGGAGCCTGCTTTCCCCACCACCCGTCCCTCTGCCTGCCTCTCTATCTACTTGTGATCTGTCAAATAAATAAAAAACCTTAAAAAAAAATAGTCTATCTCCAGTCCTTCTCTTTTCTCACTCCCACCATGATCTCAGCCACTTTATGCATATCTTGATGCATAAGATTCCCAAATCCCAAATCTAGATACTTCCACCTGAACCTCTCTTCAGAAAGAAGGGAGAAGGAAATAATAATAGAGTGTGCATTACTCCTTTTAAGCCTTTCTGCTTTTCTTTGCTAATTTCTTTCCTTTTGAAGAAACGTGGAATTAACTCTCTACTCAGACATATTATTCATAGTATTACACCCTAACAAGGAAGCAAATACTCTGCACAACTCAATGTCCATTCCAAGATGACCTCTAGTAACAAAAATAAGTCTCCACTGGGGCGCTTTGGTGACTCAGTCGATTAAGCTTCTGACTCTGATTTTGGCTCAGGTCATGATCTCAGGATCGTGAGATCAAGCTCCGCGCTGGGCTCTGCACTCAGCACAGAGTCTGCTTAAGATTATCTCCCTCTCTCTCTCTCCCCTTCCCCTCACCACTCTTGCTCTCTCACCAAAAAAAAAAAAAAAAAAAAAAAAAAAAAGTCTCCTGACAGCACAAAAATAAAGTAGCTGCCATTTTACATTTTACTGAGCCTCTTATCATGAACTAAACACATTTTTATGTATAGTATCTCATTATGCTCCCATTGATCTGTGAGAAATATTATCTCTTTACAGGTGAAGAAATGGGAGCCCAGAGAAGTTAAGTCACTCTTCTAAGGTAATAAAAGGTGGTAAATGGTAGAGCTGAGAACAAAATCCAAGTATGACATAAAAAAATCATACCCTTATCCACTTCACCAGCCCCCTCCCCAGAAACCTGGGAACCTGGCTGAAAAGGACATGTCAATTTCAGCTTTCTTCATATACCAAATTTCAGGCTGAAAATGTTCATGTAGACATTTTAATAAAGGTGAAAATGGAAGCTGAGAAAACAAACGCAAACGTTCTGGACAATAGTTTTAGCCTAAATCCCACTGCAGCTAAAATTTAGTTCAATATAACAACTCCGAGAGAGAATTTTGAAATTTACTACAAACAAAACCAAATTCATTGGCAGAAGCTATTGTTTCCACCTAAAGCCTACAACCTGGACAATCTGATTTAGCCTCATTCAATGTCTCCAGCCAGAGGCCTGTTACAGAAACACAATTATTCTGTCTCTGCTAACCATGCCAAAAAGCCCTCAACTTCTGTAGAATAACCGTTTATGAAACAAGAGCCAACGCATTCTTAAGTGTCTTAAATTGGGACTCTCATGAATGGGAGAGACATACTGGACTCTCGATGTCCCCCTTTCTTATTGTCTGTTAGTTGGCTATAGCTCTCCCCCCTCACCCTAAATTGACTATCTGTTTCTTCCCCTCACCCTTGTTTCCTGGTAAGTAATTCAGAGAGGGTCAGGTCCTTATGTTCCACCTAATATGATTTTCCATCCAGCATATGAATCTACCACACATCCCCAGATTTTCATCCAACCCATATTCTAAAACTTTGGAACAGGGACCAATGCACTCACTCCCAGGCAGCTGACTCCCTAAGCAGATCAGACCAGTAGAACATTTCATCCTTAAACCAAATTGAAATGTGTCTCCCTATAAATTCCACACATAGGTTCCATCCACTGGGACTACAGAAAAGGAGCCAAATCCTTTTCTCAACCCAAAAATGCTTTAACTGTTTGAAGACAACTCCCACGTTCCTCCTAATCTGCCACTTTTCTGAACCAAACATCCCTAGTTCTCTTAATCTTATGAAATAGAGAAAAATAATAGTGTCTCAAAGCAGTGAACTTATCAGAGTGTGCAGGATTTAAACCTGGGAAATAAATATTAGGAAATGACAATGCCATGGCATTCCTATTAAATGCATCTCATTTTCATTGTACATTATAATAAATGAAAAAATACATATATGTTAATACTGAAAAAAGTGTTCTAGTAGGCCAAAATGAAGAAAACCTAGAATCTCATGTGCTTCCATCTATATAAGAATGCAGACTGATTTATTCTTATAACTCAAAATTAAGAAAATAAAATCATTAATTTTTACGGCCTGCTGAATTTTTTGGAAAAGGAAGAATGTACCTCCACTTAACTTTAACAAAGATCCCTGAAACTCAAGGGACAAAGCCTTCAAGATACATGTGCAGAGGGTTTGAATTTGAAATATAAACTCTAGAGAAATAACCATCTTCCCAACACTTACCAATCTTGGGAAAAGATAAACATATGGGATTCCAAGAAATTCTTATTCTCTTTCCCACCAATCTTTTTCTCCTACATGTTAGAATTCAACTTCTACCCAAAGAGTTGAGTCTGTGCTATTAACTATTAACCATCTTTCACACCACAGGGACAAAACCAGGAATCAGAGATGGTTACCGAAAATATAAACATAGAAGCATACTGAAAAGAGGAAACCGAAAGACAAGGGCTTTAGAATTTGACAGAGAAACTACTGCTCTCAAAGGGAGGCCTTCCTGAAAACACAAAGTCAAAATTAATGAACACTTAGGAAAGTCTGCTCTTTACAACTAGTATTATAATCCTTATATTCCCTTGATCTCAAAACAAGCTAGAAGGCCAACCTAATTATAATGAATTTCTGGGAGTTTAAAAGGGGCAAGACTAGGGGCATCTGGGTGGCTCAGTGGGTTAAGCCTCTGCCTTCAGCTCAGGTCACGATCTCAGGGTCCTGGGATGGAGCCCTGCACTAGGCTCTCTGCTCAGCAGGGAGCCCGCTTCCCCTTCTCTCTCTGCCTACTTGTGATCTCTCTCTCTCTCTGTCAAATAAATAAATAAAATCTTTAAATAAATAAATAAAAATAAAAGGGGCAACATTAGAATTCGCACTGGTCAATCCTCTCTTTCTAGACTTTATGCGTCTTCCACAGGTCCTCATTCCCTGGTGCTCAACCATCATTCCCCCCTTGCCTTCCATGTCACCAGTGGCGCTCCTGGCTATCTGGTCATCTTTCTGTGTTAGGAGAGGTCAGAGACAGGGACAGAAATGTTCATGAACAAGGGGCCACACTCCTGAGTATTCTGGCTAATGTTCAGGATATTCCTTCTCCAGAAATATTCAGGTTTTCTCGGGAGTCAAAAGGTCACTGTCAAATACACACAGCCAAGAAGCACGCTTCACTCCACACACCTTTCCCTATGACCTAATCCAGTCCCCCCCAGTGTATAACGAGTACGTTCTGGGATGGTCTCCTTTCACAAGGCAGCACAGGTAGTGATAAATACTACACTCTGAAATCCGGAGGCCCGGGTCCTGCCAATTACAAGCTGTATGCCCTGGCAAGTCACTTAGGTCCTCAGAGTCCTGGTTCCCTCATCCACAGGTTGCACTCCCCAGTGGGGATTAAAACAGTCCAGCACAACAGAGAGCTTTTGGGAGGATAAACAAGGTAATTCACGCAAAGCACTTAGCACAGTGTTTGACACAAGCTTTCAAAATGTTTTGAAAGGTTGGCCATTACTACAAAATACTAAAGCTAAACCCTGGACTGGTTATGGAGTGAGAGAAGTGCCATCTGCACTCAAGGATTGGGGAGCAAATGGATCAGTGATATAAACACAGGGATTAGATACATAATACTTAAGCAAAGGGATCAAACCAAACAGAGAAATTAGGAAAAACTTACATGTATATATAATTGGGTAATTCTGTATTTTCCCTTTAGCATGGTTCTCTATTTTACTGTTTTATTAACAGTTCAATTTCAATAAACTGGACATTGCGCTGAATGCTGAACTCTGTGTCCAGCACTGCGCCAGATCCTATGTGGTGCAGAGAGGAAATCAACTTCAAAAGAGTTAGTACTCTTGAACTAGTTACCACCAGATAACAGTACACATAATGAATTGCCAAAGTGAATGGTACAGGT